CAGGTTGAGGATGCGAGTAATTGAACTGTGCTACAAAGCAAAAATAGTTCGCTTTTGGTTCAAATCTATATGCAGGAGGTAACCTTCTGCTTGGTCTGGGCACTTCTCCCGCATACAACGTCTTTTTCCCACTTGGCCCCTTCCTATTATTACTTGTTCAGATCGATATAATACTATGAGTAACAGATCAGCGCCTTCTGAAAAGTTGAAAAGATATGCAAAAATGTGTCGTTTAATATATTGCCTTAAGACCATCAAAGTTCCGCCTCAACGGCATTAGTAAACTATGCGATAAGTGACAAAAGACTTTAGATAATGATTGTCCATATTTCGATCATTGGGCTTTGTAACAAGTACATTTTAAATGCATTGGAATTTTATCAGAAAATACCGAGCATTTATTTACGCGCCTAATGCATATATATACAAACTAACTTCGGCAACAATAAAAACTTCATTAAAATTAAGTAGTAATAAGGAGAAATTTAAAAATATGCAGTTAAACTATCAATCTACTGACATAAATAAATATCTATATATGAAGAATTAAATACGAGTAATATCAAAAAAAAAAAAAAACAAGTAAGAAAATTATATTCGGTCGTGATCGAATCTTTTATACCCATCACCGTTATCCTAAAAAAGCGGGCGAAGTTGATTTCGATTATTTTCAAAACAGAAGTTTTTGTCGTAAAGGCATGTGGGCGTTACAGGCGTAACCTTTGGGAAAGTATCGAAAAAATTATTCAATTTTGATACACTATAACATTAGGTAGGCGTGGTCAAAATTTTCCATTTTTATGCGCAGATGCTATAGCATCGCCCAAAGAGTACGCGTTCAAAATCTTTGTGCACTTATTGGCTACAATTTATGAGTAATAGGAAAAAATCAAATTTTTCGTTCCCTATGAAAAACAGAGGTGTTCTCAGATTACGCAGCGTTGTGGGCTTGTCCTTTGACCGATTTGCCCCATTTTCAATATCGATCGACGTGCAAGAACTTCCAATATATCTGACCGATAGCATCATTTTTGCGGCCGGAAGAATGTTGACAACAGACATTACACAAACGGACAGACAGACATACTTAAATCTATTTAGAATTTGATGCTGATCAAGAATATATGTACTTTGTGGGGTCTCGGATGCTTCCCTCTGGGCGGTGCAAAGATTTTGACAAAATGAATATACCATTCATCCTTCGGTGACAGGTATAAAAATGGAAGTACCGACAGCCAATACACATGGTATCTCGAAGAGTATCACTAACGCGTCGCAAACAAACAGAAGCTTGACACTTGCTCATAATGGATGTATTTACTTTATTAGCAATTTGTAAAGCTTTTGTTTCAATAAGAGGAATAGATTGGACGGTATATGGATCTGCTACTGAATCCCATAAGTTATAGATATGATGTCGACTTGGACAAATGATCGCAAATTGGTTAAACTAGGTCATTACAGTTCAGTTTACCTATTGACTAAGTTTTGTGAACGAAGCGTTCCTCATTTAATTCTAACTTTGCCATGGTCAGCCTTTGAGGCTCATTTGGACTGTCAACTTAAATTTCGTTATGTTAACAATTAACTCTAAAAAGAAAATAAAAACAAGATATTTGTATATATCGAGCTTGCCATGATATCCAAACTTAGCTCGTTTCGTTTCTATAGCCAACGATACCATGATGTACCTTAAAGTCACGTGAGCAGTAAAGAATCCCGTATCTTGGACAGGAACAATCTTATTAAGTACGAAATTTAGGGCAGAGATGCGTCGAGGAACTACGTATATTTCATTTCAGAACAGTAACCGCAGTATCACATTTGATTATTTCTTTGCGGACAATAAACTGAACCAAAGTTTATGCAGAACTTGCAAACAACAAATAAATTTTTCTTATCTCTTGAAGGTTTTTCTTTCTCATACAATTCGAAATCAGAAAATCTTTAGTCCATGTATAACATTTTATATACATGTACGTATTTATTTTGGTTGTGCGAATAAATGAATTTAAATTAGAAACAAAAACAAGAACATAATAATTATTCCCAGGATTTTGATAAGTGACTGACAGTAGTCGCATTAGAAAAAACGTGGAATAGTTAAGGTTAATAAAACCGGCGATTCATCTTAACTCTGTTTATCAGAAGAATAAAGAATAACAAGTCTCTGAGATGGACCTACGTTTCTCTAGTTAAGATAAGCTTCTTCTTTTTTTTTGTTTTTCATAATATGCTCGATTACAAAGGGGATGCCCTGAAATGTGTTATGCCTTCACCGTTAGAGCATTCACTATAGCTGCGATCCATACATCAATCGTAATTAATGTATGGCACACACACGCACACACATAAGGATTGAACTCGTGTATACTGACATGACAGTCACTCCTTGGCTATGAAGTGACAATGAGACAAGCGTGTCGCAAACCAGATTTATTAGTGCAAAAACTAAAATGAATTTTTATATCAATTCGGTTGACTTAAAATTGCAATCATCAACTCTTTCTTGGTTCTTGTGTCTTGGCATTCTGGAGACTAGTGTTTAAGAAAGTCTGACGAAGCGCGCTGTCTTTATTGATGGAAAATCTTCTCAAATATGACAGCGATTAGGTACATTTCTTTTTACACCCTACACAAATTGTGATACATGACTATATTAAGTTTGTACGGATGTATGCAATACCTCGAAGAAGTTGAAATAGCTCCATTTATCGATTCAGAATCACTTTCCGAGACGCATTAATCTCGTCTGTCCGCCTCTCTGTTTTGTTTCCTTATGTTCAAATTACAGATCGTAAAACAAAGCCTTACTTTGAAAAGTCGTTATACGAATGTTAGATATTTAATGATGGGACGTGGTCCACAATAGCGTTCAGAGAGAATCATAAGTTCTGAGGTAGAGAAATCATTAACATGTAGGGCAAATAGAAACGGTCCTAAGCGTCTTCGTTAAGGGGAACCTAGTATATCGGAAATTTTCCGGTTCACGGCGAATGGAAAAGCAGACGCTTAAGCGTTCCCCATAAAAGTAGGAAGATGACTAGCGATATGAGCATCAGGCAAATCCCAAGTGAACTAGTATGCATAGCGATAGTTCCTGGTTAATTTTGTCGAAGATGTAGCAAAAATCAAGCCCAAATTGAAGATCCTACGATTGGGGTTCGGGAACGAGTTAGGGTGGAACGAATGTAGGTTAAAGATTTCCTGAGATAAAGTCACTTGATATTCGTGGTAATAAGATATAAATTATAGGAAACCAGGCCACTCATTGGGACACTATGGAACTTGAGTTAAATTAAAATCGCTTCACGGATAAGCGAAACATGTTTTTTTTTTTTAGATACTAACATCCTATGGGCGATAATTAGATAAGATCTGTAAATTTTTATAAATCAGAGGAGGGACTTATCATTCGAACTAATATGTGGGTCAAAATGAATGATTCGCTATTGAAAATTTTTGCGAATTGTGATTTCGAAAATTACAAGAATTGCCTAAAAGTTGCAATAAACAAACAGACAAACATATAAATAAATGTCATTAAGTCTTGGGGGTTGTTTAAGCTTATTTTAAACTCGTTGACTATTTGAATGGGGATTAATGTTATAATAACACGTTTTAGCAAATAAATTACAAAGAAAGTGTAAACAATTGGTTCAATTGAAACCAATCTATTATTGTAGAAATTTGAAGCGATGACCAATATGATATAGATTCGTACTTAGACCATTTAACGCATCCATACGAATGCCTATGCATTGTGTTGTTGAATGCATTGCAGTAAGTTGTAGTAAAATGAACATAACGTTCCTTTAAACACACGTTACCTACCCATGACATCAGCAGAGCAAACAAATGGTTTTTCAATTCTCTAACATATCAATATTTCTTGAATTTTTGTGGTTAGTCATAAGTGACAAAAGCAAGCGAATAGCGGCTAAAAAAAGCAAAAAACCGCAGCAAATTGAAAGAAGAAATGCACTCATTTGTACTTTATCGAGAAAGAAAAACTTTACATTTTTCTTTACATTTTTTTATTCTATCAGAAAGTTAAACAATCAACTATAGCTATGTGATAACCAAAACGATCTATGAAAGAAAGGAAAAATAAAAAAAAAATAAAAAATCAAGAAGGAAAACTAAAGTATAAAGAAACAATACCTTTAATTCGCAGCTATGTGATTATATATATATATATATATATATATATATATACATATATACATGTATATATTATAAATATATATGTAAAGAAAAACCAAAAAAAAAAAAAAAAATTAAAATTAACACAAATTTTTGTGCACAAAATAACAGAGAAACAAACGCTTAGAAACGTAACCCCACCGAATATACCAAAGAAGTATTATACAACTTAAATGAAACTAATGGAAACGCAAAACATCCGACTTGAAAGATTGAATTGAAAGCAACCACCCATTCATCCATATTCACCCAATCACCGGTATTCATTCATACACACTCAGATACACTGGCATATCTCTCAGGCATTCTTGCAATTTATGCAATTTTTTTTTTTTTTTAATTTTGTGATTTACACACAAATGAAAGATATTGAAACGAGTGCCGCCGCTTCACCAAATAGCTCAACATCGTTTGTTATTAAATGTCTGCTCAAGACTGTACGCTTTATGTGGCAAGTAACAGCATTACCCACAAAAATTGGCGAAACCATTGGCACCCTATACCGTTATGCACAAACTTCTGTCGATAGTATATTATGCGTGGCAGCGGGGTAAGATAGTACTCGTACTTGTACGACACTGTGATTCTATGTATGCATGTATGTATGTATGTATGTATATATGTATGTATGTATGTGTGTTTCCGTTTGTGTGCGTTCGTTTATTTATTAGCCTGTGAAAATGCATTTTTTGAGTTTCTCTCTTTTTAGAAATCCATTACTATATTATTAGAGTAAAGGAGAAAGAAATTACGTCACAATTAATTCCAATTCTTTTTTTTTTTTTTTATTGCAGAAAAGCTCGTCGCAAAGAACGCGATGGCGATCAAAATTCAACAGATACCAAATTATATTTGGAAGAAAGCGTTTTAGAACGTAAGCTACCTGAAGCCGATCTCAAAGCTCTAGTTGATCTGCCGGCCGGCCTAGATTATAACGAATGGCTCGCTTCACACAGTAAGTCAAGCTATTATATTAAATAAAATATACATTGTATAACCTTTCATATAAAAAATAATTTGTATACATCGGTCTGCAGTCGTTAATCTTCATTTCTTTGGTAATTGAAAATTCTCCCTTTACCCCATATAATCAAGGTATTAATAAGGAGAGCATTCTTTTTTTTATACCCTACACTACTACTTGCTGTATAGAGTGTATTATTTATTTAATCGAAGTTTGTCTCTCCGGCCGTCCATCTGATGTCTGCCCATGAATATCTGTTTTCAAGCTTTTTGCCCATGGATGGACCTCATTTCCGACCACCCCTCAAACAATGCCTTACTTTCAAAAGTCATTATGACTACCTCAATACCGATTTACCTATTGAAACGTAAAATGCTTTTTCATCACTTTTACATTCTTATTCAACTCGGTTTGAGAGATTAAGTAAAGGTTTTATTTTCAATTCTTAGCAGATCTACTCACAAACTATATAGAAGAACGTCTTCTCCATTCGAATATTAAAATTGAACTCTCTTCACCTGACTAACTTTGCCTTTGGTAAATTCTCTGCTTACATACGCCTTTTACAAGCCTGTTACCGATGCCAAATGTTCGACGAATTGTTGTCAATCTTTCCGCGAGTCGCCAGCTACGCCGACAGACAAAGTATCATGAATATATATTTGGTTTTACCATTTTTAGAATTTGCTTTCATAGAAAATCGGTTAGCGTTCAATCATAATCCGCATTAAGTCCGGTGAAAATCCAACTAACTTGCATCAAACTTATGTAATATAAATTTTACATTTTGCGATTTTTTTTAAACTTGAATCATATCAAGATTATATATGTTCGTCGATCGAAATGTTTACAACTGTTATGAATTTACGCTTACGTTGTCTAAAGTATAATGTTCGAGAACTTTTTTTTTTTGCACTGTATTTTCTAATCTGCTAAACACAAAACTTTCTTTTTGCGTCTGTCTCGCCATAAATTCCCTCACCTAATGTTGGTTAACTAGGTGGTGTACCGTGATTCACTTGTGTATACGAATATGTGGGGGTAGAAGTTGCTAAATGCCGCTACTTTATTTCCTGTTTATATGTTGCCAACGTTAATGATGAAATGAATAAAGTAAATATGAAAATTATATATATATTCGAATATATACGTATAACTTTTTGGAAGAGATAAATAATGGAAATGCCTTCAAGTGGAAAAAGTAAAATAATAATAATCGAGGAAACGATTAAACTCGTGCAAGGCTGAAAATTAAATATCGTACCCCAGCGTTCGCTTAATCAAATTGTTCACTGATCTATCTAAAAAACTTAAAATCAAAAATTGTTCCTTGCTTCTAAGCAAACGCATATTTTTCATGGAAGGGCTTAGAAAGGACGAAGAACCAAAACGTGAAGTATGATGTTGTCCAATATACATCAAAATTTCTTCTTGTTTTTTTTATAAAGTTGAAGAATTATATTCGACATAACATAAAAACCAATTAGATTTCGTTTCCATCCAAAGGATTATAAGCACTCTTGTATGGGCTGGGGTTCAAGGCTGGGTAACATAGGATAATTTAATTTTGGCATATTTGGACCGATTTTCATCGTAAGAATGTTTAGGGAAGACGGTCGAAAAATTCAAATTTTTTTCTTCGTATAACGAACTCTATGCAATCGCTTTCAATAGGAACATTGCTCTTGGACCAAAGCATGCACCATCAAATTATTTAAAATATTACGATCTGTAGAATAAATCCAAAGTACATGGGCTGATATCACTTAGATATAACAGGACAAAGAAGCTTAAATCTATTTAAAAAATAATTCTGAATTGATCGGTACAATGTATAAGTAGAGTTTGATTAACTTTTGAATAGAATTGAACCTTTATTACTAAAAATGAAGAGAAGCATTTAATTCAAAGTATTTTCCATCCCCAGCTTCTATATCTGTCTCCTTTTAAGCGAAATAGAAATTGCAAACGGAAAGTACAACTGATCCTTACAGCCTATCCACAGAAGGTATGGCCATAAACTGGAAAGCCCTCCTCATTGAAAAGTCAAAAATTTATTTGGCATTTGCAACAGTTTTTCAGCTCAAACGCATCAGTCGCGCAGTCGAAGATATTCTGTTTTGTCGTTTATGTTAATGGTTCACCTAGTCTGCACCTAGTCTCGGCTGGACAACGTAACGCGCAAGCCTTATTCAAAGTTGCAAAGAAACTTTAACGTGTACACTTCAGACCGATAACTTGTAAACTTTTATTCAGCAACCTATCGCGCTAGTTATGACCTTCTTTGAAAAATGGTGATACTTTATTACAACAATGTATAACTTAATAAAACAAGTTTCACTCGAAGTGATTCGGTTAAAAAATATCATTATTACTATTTGTTTCTATATATGAAACGTGTGGTAATGAATCAATTATATATAATTCCAATTCAATTTCTGGCTTAGAGTAGGCCATTCTTTCATCGCCTAAAATTAATATTTCGTAATTAATCTTAAGAAAGAATCGGCGCATTATCTTTTAAAGCTCCAGATGTTTCGTTTTCTTCCGTTACGTTATAAGATAGCAAGACGGACTCTCCAAATGTTCTTCTCTCGATACTACTCTATTGCTATTCGCTGCTTTGCTCGCGTATAGCACGTTAGTTACGTTCCAAAAAATTTATCGTGTTATACGAAATAAATATATATAGTACGAAAAATTAAAGACATGCTATTATATTTTCGTAATTCAAGTAAATATCTTTATTAACACTTTCTTAAGAACATAACAACAATGTTTGCTTCGTCATTACTAATGGCGGGGGCTTTCTTTTTGCTAAGATATCTTCATCCCCTCTGAGCATTTTTGTGCATTACCTTCCCGTCCATACTCGTTCTGTAGCGATTATCGAAGGGTGAGGGGTACATTCATTTTGTCATGACATTTGCAACGCCCAGAAGGAAGCTTCAGAGGCCCAATAAGGTATATCTATTCGTGATCAGCCTCAAATTCAGAATCAATTTAAGCATGTCCATCTGTTCGTTCATGTTACGTAAGCTTCAAACTTGGCAGAAACATTGGAAGCCCAATTTTCCCAATTCTCGAACCGTATTAGACTGGGTGTGTGCTGTCGAAGTGCCGTGTAGTATGGCAATGTTCTCATTGTTCTCGAGTCGTGCTGGAGTAAAACCGTGATATAAAAATGCCGTCCCGTTACACGGTCCACCATCTGTTTCTCTTGTTTATATATTTCATTGGAATGCCTGCCCGTTTGTGGGGCTTCATACTGCAGAATAAATCTATCGTATAGATTTGGCATGGATCTGTCTGCCTAACTTGCAAGCAATTTTGTTGAAATTATTAATAAGGCATTGCTGTGCTTCAATCATTATTAAAACATATGAAATTATTGTAAATCAAAAGTTTTATATGAGTTACGTAAGAGTTTTTACTTGTCCATGATTGTTTGATGACTTGATCTTGTTTTCAGCTTTGGCTCTATTCGAACATGTGAATTTGGTTTATGGTACAATTAGTGAATTTTGCACACCTTCGGGTTGCGCCGACATGACGGGACCGGGAAACAGGTCTGTAAACGCTTAGAGAAATTTAAATAATGTGAAAATGCCTATTAAAGATTTATTTGATAAATGCTTTCAGAACGTACTTATGGTTCGATGAGAAAGGCAAAAAGACTCGTGTAGCGGCTCCTCAATATATCGATTATGTGATGACGTTTACGCAGAAGACCGTTAGCGATGAGTCGATATTCCCAACCAAATATGCTAACGAATTTCCCAGTTCGTTTGAGTCGATTGCCCGTAAAATTTTACGCTTGCAATTTCATGTGATAGCACATCTCTATGCGGCGCATTTTCGAGAAATTGCGTTGCTGGGTTTGCACACGCACCTCAATTTAACTTTTGCCCACTTGACTGCCTTACATAGGCGATTCAATTTGATTGATGAAAAGGAAACGGACGTTTTGCGTGATTTGGAAGTGGCTTTAAGATTAACAGATGACACCAACTCCTCCTCTACAACACAAGTCGACCATGAGACGGCAAGTGCGAGTGAAAGCGGTGCTAAGACAGCAGAGGATGTCAATTTAACTACAGTGCAACACAATAATATAGCACCGGCAGGGGTAGCGGCATCGCTTATAGATAGCAATGTGACAGCAACGCTTCCCATTTGCACACAACCAGAAGCGGCAATGAAAACGCAACAGCAACCGTTTGGAGGTGTTGCGGGTGGCGGCGGATTAATGGGCGGCATTCTGGGTGATTTGAGTACCGGTGAATTTGGTTATTGTACTTCAGCAGTTCCTGCTTCCTCCTCCAGCAATTCCTCCCCTTCTTGCACCAGCCACAATGCCTGCAATGCGACGGCCGATCAGTGCGGCGGCACTTCATCATCGATGTCCATTACGGCAAACGGGAATAATGGGGCGGGCGCTGGCGCTCTCTATTTAAATTTTCACAACAGCAACAATAATAATAATCATCACCATCATCATCATAATAATCATATTCCCCATCATATTCATCATCAAAATCACTACGCGCAGAACAGTGGCCTCATACAGTGCAATGCCAGCAATGCTCCTAGTTCGGTGGCAACCACTTCGACTACAACAGCATAGCTGCTCTAACCGCTTGCTCTCATAATGCAAATGCTAACGAATACGTTGACGATTGTTATTGCGCGACTGCAATATTGTGCACTACACTCCTTAAACTTCCTTACAGTTACATGAATACACTCACACTCACTTAAAAAAGAAAAAAAGTGAAAACAAAAAAAACAAAAAAAATCTTTTTAAATGAATGAAACACAAGCAGACAAATCGGAACTCTCTACTATCAATCAATCTATCTATCTATTCTCGTTAAACACAAAACAATTTTTAAATGAGATGCTTAAAAATTAAAACATACATATACACACACACACACACACACACACTCACACACAAATACACACAAACACATACACACCCTTTAACAAATCAATAAATATTTTATTAATTTTTATGCAAAATATAAAAAAGAAAAACAAAAAAAAAAAAAAAAATCCAAACAAAACAAAACAAAAAGTGTAGCAAATTTTCATTGTGAGAAACTGTTTAAAATGAATAAAACAAAGTAAAAAAATAAAAAAATAGAAGAAAAACAAAAGAAAAAATTATCATAATTAAAATAAAAAGAAAAATGTTAAGATTATTGCCTTGTTTTTTTGTGTTAATCAGGGCAAACGCTTATGCTTTATATTTATAAATAAACGGACACACATATACACATTAATAGATATATTTACATACAATGCGTTTATAAATTATGCAAAAATGATGTGAAAAATAAGAAAATTTTTAAGAATAAGAAATGAAAATCTTAACTAATGAAACTTAAAATAAATAAATAAAAAGAAAACGTATAAAACTATTTCCTTCATAACACACAACTAAACCAGCTTTTAATTGTAAAGAAAAATATACACACAACAACAAAATTTAAACACAGTAATATAGTTATCTACCTATCTATCTATTAGACCATTTCCCGGACCTAACTCCTCATTCCTACTCTCAAATGATCTTCGTTATCTTTAACTCTCGATCTATCTCTATTTATCTCTTTTATCTCTCTCTTTCAAAACATACAAGATGGTTATTCAACTCAAGAACTACATTATAAACCATTTAAATTAGGAAAATCGTATTTAAAGCAAAGACGTTATTGTTCAACCTTTTAATTTAAAAAAAAAAAATATTGTATTATAAATATAATTAAAAATAAATTTAAATTAAAAACATAATTATCAGTAGTCTGATTATAAACAACAAAACATGATAAAAAAAAAAAAAAAAAAAATAATAATAGCAACAATGCTAATAATAGTAATAATAATAAAAATTATAATTATAATAATTAAATAATGATAATATACTTTTAATCGAAAAACACTTAAAAAAGTAAAGTAATTTAATAAAAAAGAAATAAAACATTGCCGCCGCCGCATTATTAGCGTCAAAAATGATCCATCTTTTTTTTTTTTTTTTGTTTCTTGACCGTCGACATCAACCCTGCAAGGGAAGCAGTCAATTTCATTACCTAATATCTACGTACTGGCCTGCCGTCTGCTTCTCACCTTTCCTAAAAGAACTGATAGCAGCGTTATAATAATAGCGCCTTCATCTTAACGCGCCGGTTCATCTGTTCACCTTTATGGCATATAATTATGTGTTTTTTGATATAGGAAAAGCATTATTTAATTTTATATAATTGTCCCTTTCATTATGCAGCAAATAATTTTGCAAATCGTTCGTTCGTTCTTGATTCTTTTCAACTTTATGAGCCTTGAACATTTTCTTATCACTATTGACAACGACTCGAAAGACAAACGGATAACTATGTATTCGGCAAAATTTCTTACAATTTGTATACATTTCAATCATTCCATTGAATCCTTTACAACGTAAGTTTGTGTGCCTGCAAAGGTAAAGAAATGCAAGCTTCGAATTTTTAGTATCAACGAAGGTAAAAGATAGTAATCCGTTGTCACCGGCACCGGAGAATATGCTCTATAATCAAAAATCCTTTGAAATACACTGTGAAAAACGAGTGTAATACTTGATGAAATTGAATTATCTCATGCAGAAAAATTTGCCGATTGCATTTCGGCAAAATTTCCGAATGCATTAGTCTTTCCAACCTGTCCACGTACGCAAGGAAATTGAGTTAATTTTTCGTTTCCCACCATTTTGTACACAATGATATTTTTGGGATTACGTATCTTTCGATATTGAAGACAATCGCTGAATTGTTGCTTTCAATACGTTTATATTCCACTTAAACTCCTAAACTAAGTTCTTAAAGAAACAGCATTCGCTGAAAATGAAATTACTTGTTGTTTTTTTATTTTTTTTTTATTATTATTAACCCTCCCTGCACTTACTGGTCCTTCTCTTCAGAAAAAGAAAAATAGGCTTTGAAACATTTCGCTGCGGAGTGCTGTGAATCTTGAAGATGCATTTCTTAAACCTAAACAAGCAGAAGAAGCATTCTGCGAATTCAGCTTCGCAAGTCCCATACTCTTGAGGTGAACAGAAACCTTGAAATAAATGATTAAGATTGATTTGTACAAAGAGTATTGCATCGATAGAGTATGTATAGTGAATGAAGGGGAGATTGTGCTGGAATAAAGCGTCGAAATAGAACATGCCACTATATGTTATACAATCAAATACAATCAACTGAACGAAATTGTATTATCGATAGCAATTAATTGATTTAATTTTAAGGTTTTATTAATATATGATACCGTGCTATGTAGAGATCGCAAAACACGTTCATCACGTTCATCATTCTAAACATGTACACGCGTATAATATACTGTATATTATGTGTTTATATTTCTTTCATTATCAGTTATTCGCTGTCTATACGTATTTAGTATTTCAATATCAGAATTGCTTACAAAACCGTCTATATTATGACGACCTGCGGGGCATCTAAATTCTCTATAGTTGTAACATATTTTGCTTAAAATAAAGTTGCTAGTTGAATAAAACTGTAAAGTTTAAGGTTAAGAAAACAAAAAGGTTATAGCAAGTTATTAATACTTAGTACAAATATAGAAATTTTTACAAGACAAACAAGTGAAATTATATTAGCGCTGAGACGAATCTTTCGCATCCATATCTTTTTCAAGTACTTGCTATTTTTATAGTCATGCGGTCAACCAGCCGATTAAAGTGGCTTCTACGCTTCACTTTCTTCGAGCAAGAATATTTCAACATGTAACGCTTCACGTTTCTACAAAAATCGGCGTTAGACAATCGGAAACGGACACGACTAGTTCGACTTGGAATCAATCCTACATTAACTAAGAATACAAAAGATAATAAATTTAAATCGCGACTTTACTATTAACAAAAGTTCAATAATTATATTGTTAGTTGACAGCATTGTTTAAAGTGGGTATGAAGGACCACCTTGTTTTTTTCACTTTGCCGAGCGTGCTCTTAAGCTGGTCATAAAATGAGCAAAAAAATATAAATTCGATTTTGTAATAATTTATTTTTTAATTCCTGTGCCATAAATGCTACCTAAGAATATATATAAAAAAAAGCATGCAAGTCAATGTCAATATAAAATTGCCATCCCCCTTGCCAACGCTTTTGTCCGCAATTCCTCTCGGGAGGTTGCTTAGCTTCTTAGACGGATGACCAAAAAGATAGCTCTCCTGAAATGCGGCGACAAAAATACATAGACTTTTTCTTGATTTCAGAACGTCGTCGTCGTCATCGTCTAAGGTGCGAAACAAATACTGCGAATAATATCTAGAACGGGATCTGGGGGCTGCACTTGACAACAAACATGAAAGGGAGATTCATGAGAGACAACAGAATGGGCAGATTGCGATATTTGGACATTTCGGAAAGGAGAATGGAGCCATACACTCGTCCCTATGCGAGTAAATTTCCCTTTCTCGCATGATAATTATAATCAAACTATTTAGAAAGAATTATTATTAGGAATTAACGCTAGTTGTCACGAGAAAATATTGAAGTTTTGTAAAGTTTTGCTCAAAGCTGAAGAGAAGAAAATTGTTGATTTTGCCTGAACATGCATTAGGGACCGTCACAGACGCGAAATTTAGCGTCTGGTTGACCGCTTGTTCGCCAATCGCCGCTGCTGGCAGGCGAACCTACCAGCATGACAATGGGAAGGTCATGGCTATACAGCGAATGAAATTCTGAAATAAAGAGATATCGCATGCTACACTCATGAGGTAAGCGATTATTAAGTTTCGCAAAAAACCAAGAAAGAAAAACCTGGGGAAAATAATCCATTTGATCCCGGCACACATCTTTTCATTCACCATCCACGCATGTAGTACTCTTCCCCTTGAGAGTTAGCGAACCTATTTTCCTTTTCAAGGACTAGGGTTTCTTACATAATTTTAATTCGTGATAATTGATAAATTTTTAGTAGTCCATGAGTCAAAGAAAAAAAAAAAATATATATATATATATATATATAAGATTAAGTAAATAAATAAATTGAAAATACTTAGTTGAGATTAGTAAGGATAACGTTGTATACACCAAATAATATTTGATCGTGAATGGGTAATGTATAATAGACAGCGGATCACTGAATGAAAAATAATAACGGAATGAATGCAACATATATATGTTTGATAAAGTATAACGGCGATGGTTAACAATGTATGTATTTTCATAAGGTAAAGAAAAAATTTCGTTGGGTTCTTCGTAATAGAAGGCTTTAGATTTGCTTAGCTATAGTAATACTAATCTTATTCAAGTATAATGCAGTGCAGAAAAATGACTGGAAGTTAGCGGAGAGTGACTCTGTTTTAAAAATGACCCAACATTTCAAAAGAAAGTTCATATATTCCAATATCGGCAACGCTTCACTGGCCTGTGAAAAAATTCGTGGTACGCTTATAGTAAAGATATTTTATCAAATTCCCCATTTTCCGTTTCAGGATATCGATGAAATTCTTCAAAGCATTGAAAAAGCGCAGTACATTGCATTTTGACACGTCGTCGTGAAACTGAACGTTCGCCTCGAATTGAATCAGATAGCAAAAGACGTTGGATTTTTGAACACAACATGTATTAAGATTTGAAAATTTAAGCGATTAAATTTTCATCCGCGGATTGCTACTGAAACGAAACAAAACGGAGCCGTTAGCAATGATAGACGAATACACAATTCTCTTAAAGGTATAAGACGGCTTTCAAAGCGAATGCGTAAACATAGCGTGGAATTCGTCGTTGCCACCAAACTACGGGGACCGAAACAACAGACAAGTTTAAATTGGTTTTGAGTGCTTCTGTGTCGATTGGTATAATAAAAGGCCGATTTATCTCATAGGTTCCTCTGGATGTTGCACATATCTGCACAAGTCTAAGATACAACATCAGTAATATTAGATGAAGTACTCGGCTTTAGCAAAACACCAAGAGAGATTGATAAAAATGATTTGAAACATTCAGTTTTGCACGAGCTCATCAAGCATGGCTTTAAAGCTGCGCGAGATGGTTAAATCCCTTTTGAATTTTATTATGACTTGCGGATTAATTTTTTGTGTTATGCAAATTGGCAAACAAATTAAGTAGACATTGGAAATACACTGATCGCATTCAATGAAAAGAAAATGCTGCTCGTAAAGTTTTCACTCATAAAATCAAGTAAGTGTACACAAGGTCGCTACAACGCTATAAGTGACAGTAAAAGAAAACTTAACGTATGTGCGATAGAAACTTTCTTTTTTTTGAATTAATGAAAAATTGAAGCTGGAGTGTCACATGATTAACTTTCCTACTGCGGTTAATGGGAACGTGAACTCTTTATTCGCTACATATAATTGCTCAGCATAGTTGTAGACGAGATCACAAGATTTATTTTTGACCGAGAATCAAAAGTAATTGAATCTTTTTGTGAATTCATGACTTCTTAAAATTCATTTGCAAGAACGTTGTACGTCCTCGTCTCGCGCGAGCTATTAGTATACTGATGTGACTGTGTTCAAGTTGCTTGGAGAAATGGCTTAACTTTGAAAACGTTAACCAACGCCTCGCTTCTCAGCCTTTTATATACATACATATATACTTACCGTCTTGATTTTTTGTAATACTAATTATTCAGAAGTCATGATTCGATCGCAGACTCTCGTTCGTATAAATTTTCGCATATTAAATTAAATTAAAGAAAGCACCTCGACTGATCAAATCAAAGGATTAGTTTAAAGAGCAGAATACTACCCTCCAACCCCCCCACCAACCACCATACCCGACGCTTACGCCACCCCTCGCACATACGACAATATTCATTCATGATTACGTGATTGATTGATCGCAATGGATGAATCGTTGACCTATGTACAGCCTAACACGTGAATGCAATTTAATGGACTATGCAACGCAAAAGCATTCGTTCTCTTCAAAGTTTGCAAACGTCTCTTGGCACGTACTTATAGAAAAAAGTTTTATTAAGTTAACCACAACTACAATTACACGTCATTTAATAGGAAAGTAATATTTTTTAAAGCTTAAGTAGAAGAAAACGATTAAAAATACCGTTTACAAAACAACTTTCTTTCAAGCTTGATCTAATTATTTAAACTGATAAATAATATAAACATATATATATATATATATATATATATATATATACAACTATATACATGAGTGTATATATAGTTGTATAATAATATTTTAAAAGTTGCTACTTTTTCATAATACTAGAATATTTTCATGGATTATTAATAGTAATTTTTTTCTTTTCTCTTTTTTTTTTTATTTTTTTAATTTTTTTATTATAATAATATCACATAAACTTTTGTTCTGTTTGTTTACTTTTTGTTAATTTAATTTAATTGCATCATTCGCTTACGTCTTGTATGTATTATTAAGGTATATTATCAACTACGTTAAATATGATTTTTTTTAATATTTATTTTGTATCACCATTATCATTATCATTATCATTATCGTAATCATCATCACTATCATCACTTTATATTTGCATGTAGAAGTATTTGAAAACTTAACGAATACACATTTATTTGATTTTGCTTACTTTTAAAATTCGTTTTTTGTCGCTAATATTTTTTTAATATCTTTATAAATATTACAAGCAACAAGTAAAAAAAGGGGTAATATTCGCTTTTTTGCGAATCTCTTATATCGACCACTTCAAATTATATGCATAAATATTGAATGGCCCCATGAAATATTTAAAGGTGAATTTTTATCGAGTCAACATTTACTATTGTGATTGTATTTGAGAATTGTTAGCGGTTACTTAATGCGGGCCGAGCATTTTTTTGAAACTTGAACTGTCGTCAGAAATACGCTTTAAACTTATACGGAAGGCAAGTCGATACAAAACTGTACGGTAATCACGACCGCACCGTCTGGTAAGTACTGGTTTAGATAAAGAATGAACTCAGAACAATCCTATCAAAGTAACTTTGGATTCAGTGTAGATCCAATACCTTGTAATGCAGTCTCATTCCACTTTTAAATCCTCTTTATTACCTTTATTACTATGTAGTCTAAAAAGAAATGCTTGGATTAAGCACATTTTCAAAGGTCAAATCTGTGTTTGTTTGTCGAAAATGCTTCGGACAAATGCTTCTATATAAGATGAACTATTCCTCATCGTGGTAGAAGAGCCGTAACCAAAACGAAATACAGCCCCACTGCCTGTCCTTGCTACAAGAGATCTCTTCAAATGTCAGTAAAGTTGGGCAAACTCCTTTTTGTTTAAGAAGCTAAATAAGCTTGAGTTCCACATGATATGTAAAAAAAAAAAAAAAAAAAATTATCATCGAAAAAACTACGATGAGTTTATCGTCCAGTTGGCTATTTATTCAATACATATGTATGTATATATATATAACTGAGTGTGTACATAAATCTATATGTGTGGCATTGCAACTTGGAATTTACTTAGAACTTTGCTTTTATATCCGTTTTAAAGGAGGTTCATACCCATTTAATAATTACGCGTATTGAAAGGTCATAATGGCACAGATAACAGCTAAAACTTTCCGAAAAAGTTTATAAAAGGAAAACTATTGTTATCCATTTATAATCTATAAATAGGATTTTGGCTTTAAATTGGTACACGCACTAAGCGAACTATAACGTGAAGTCTTAAAAAAAAAGAAAAAAAAAAAAAAAGAAAAGGTGGAGTGACAAAGCTGCTTGTTGGCATCCGGAATGTTTTTCATAGTGAAATAAATATCTTTATTGGATTTGTCCTTTCGCCTGTGAGACTCAGTAACACGAATCAGAAACCCTATAATCTATAAGCGCACTTCATTGGCGCAAGTTGTGTCGATTTAATCGCTTTTGTGAGTCCGTCGTCTTGGGAGTGGGCATAGTCTGCCAATAATACACAGAAATTTATTAAATGCAATGGAAAATCAATGCTCGAATGGATCAACTGAATGATTTAGTTTGAAGTGGTAGGTGTATTAAACCTTCGTTTTAAGATGAATAAAATTTTCTTACTTGTTTCGCTTGTCTCTTTTTTCATTTGTTATTCGACCTTATTATGATATATCATTTAATCGTCGGTATATGTGTGAATATGTCACATACATATTGTTAAAATATTTAAGCAGAATACTAACTAATGTAATTACATTCATATTTACTTTCACTTCATGTTGTTTATATCATTATTTTTGCTTAATCGGAGGGATTACTATTTGTTGTTGCTGTTGTTGTTGTTGTTGTCGTTCTTTTTTAAAAATTTTCTCCTAAGCACAATTGACACGCTGTTTGTTTTTCCTCCATGCTTGCGTCCCTTTCTTTATGTGGTCAACGATGCTAATTATTTTAAATTATATTTTTATGTTGTTTTATTATTATTGTTATTATTATTATTATTATTATTTTCTTTATATAATTTGTACGTTTTAGGTAGATTTTCCATTTACTCACAGGCATAAATTTTATGTTTACTTAATGTAAAGTGTGGACTAATTAATATGGTGTTGCTGCGTGTTAGATTTCTGTGAAGTGAGAAAATGAATACATTTCAGATTTTTATTTTATCTTTCATTCGCACATCATACGTACATATATATATATATATATATATATACATATATATACTTACTTAATAAATTGTGGTAATATTGAAGTCCAGCCACCTTTATCTTGTTTCAAGGTTAAGTATAATTCAAAGGTGGAAACGGTACTGGGATCGACTTTAAAAGCTGCAATACGTCTAAAAATGAAAATAACAATATAAAACGACTATCGTTTGTTTATAATTCGTATTGAGAAAATGTAAAATACTTGATATTCGTTGTAGAGCAATTTGCACCATCACAAGTAAATATATAAAAAGCTTGTTGTGTTTGTAACTGTGGGGGTGTTGGCAGCGCAATGGCGACTATTTTATGTTATAATTATATACATTATATATATATAATATAAGCAATGTCTCGATTTTTTTTTTTTTTTTTTGCCATTGCGCTTGGACCACGTATGATCAACAGTAATGGACGTTTGTGTCAGCTTTCAGTTTTCTGAGTTTCAGGCGAATGAGTGAATGGTCTGACGTTTCAAACCTCAAAATCCATTAGATTTGCTCAGAGATATATTAGATTTGCGCACATGTATAAAAGACGATCGAAATTTACATAAGACGCAGGCAGTAACTGGCCGCCCAGAGCGAGGACCAGATCAGAGAGAAAAATCTCTTTTATGCATCACATAAAAAATTCAGAATTATACATGGATTTTATATATATATATATAATTACATTTAAATTTTACGAAATGTTCGATGTGCAGTTTTTATCTGTTGCAATTAGAAGTCAAAAAGCTAGGATTCTTCCCATTCTTATACAGTGGGTACGAAAAGTGATAAGTTCGTATATGTATGTTGCTTTCGAATTTATAAAAATATGACTTAGCTATATATTAGTTTGGGGAAAAAGAAATCCATTATTTTTTCGGTAGATGGCTGCACTGATAGATTTCTCGTAAAGTATCGATCAAACAATTTCAGATTTATGCTCATTGCAAAGGTGACATTTCGCAGTAAGAAAAATTCTTTTGCTATTTTTTGTTTGGTGCATTCAGTTGTGAGTTACAGCGTGTTAAAAATGGAAGTGAACAAAGAGAAAATTCGGCCAATTATGTGCAATTTTGGTTTCGTAGATTCCGTTCAGGAATTTTTGATTTTAAAGATGCACCTCGCACAGGTAGGCCGGTCATCGAAAATGTCGATAAAATCGGAGAAATGATCGAAGTTGACCGGCATGTTAGCAGTCGTAACATCACCCAGGAGCTAAAAATCGACCATAAAACAGTTTTAAACCATTTACACAAAGCTGGATTCAAAAAGAAGCTCGATGTTTGGGTGCCACACCAATTAACAGAAAAAAACATGATGGATCGAATTTCCATCTGCGAAGCCTTGGCCAAACGAAATGAGATAGACCCATTTCTTAAACGGATGGTGACTGGAGATGAGAAATGGATCACATACGATAACCCTGTGCGAAAACGATCGTGGTCAAAGAGCGGTGAAGCTCCTCAAACGGCCAGGAAGGTTTTGCTATGCATTTGGTGGGACTGGATGCGGGTTATTTATTATGAGTTGCTTCCATATGACCAAACGCTTAATTCTGATCTCTACTGTCAACAAGTGGACTGTTTGAAGATAGCGATTGACCAGAAACGGCCAGAATTGGCCAACAGGAGAGGTGCCGTGTTCCACCAGGACAACGCTAGGTCACACACATCTACAGTGACTCGCCAGAAACTTCGGGAGCTTGGTTGGGAAGTTTTAATGCATCCGCCATTCAGTCCGGACTTGGCACCAAGCGATTATCATCTTTTCCTTGCATTGCAAAATTTCTTTAATGATAAAAAATTGGAATCTAGGGAGGATTGTGAAAATCGACTACTAGAGTTTTTTGCAAATAGAGACCACGACTTCTATGAGAGAGGCATTTTGAAGTTACCTTTAAAATGGCAACAAATCGTACAACAAAACGGTGCATATTTGACCCAAATCGGACAATCCGAAGCATGTTAAATAAAGTCCTGAAGTTCATATAAAAATAATGGATTTCTTTTTCCCCAAACTAATATATATATAAGTAACTTATGAAATTTTTAAAAAATTTCAGTTTTTTAGTATTTCAATATCAGTTCATTGTGGTTTGGAGTATGATTTGTATATTCTTTTATATTTACATCGAAGACTGCGTTCTATCTTAGACTCATATTTTTCGGAATGAACAGATTTAGCTCAAGTTAGATATAATGTAACTTAAATGCCAGCATTGCATGCGAATGATTTTTGCCTAAAATTAATGTTCATGGACAAGGCAGTAATTATAGGCATTTTCTTGTCCCCCGCATTCGCAAGTAGAAATGAATGGCATTTTTATTTGGTTTACTAGGATTCGGTTAGCATTTTATTATCAAATATGAAATAATTTTAAAATATATATGAATTTTACCTGACATTGCCCGTATCATCTGCAAAATCAATGAATATTGCGCATCCTTTAACACCACATGGTTCTCTCTCTGAGGTCTTTATCATTTCGGCTGCTATACGTGGTGTTAAGTCCCATGGTAACGACACTTCCGTGCAAGACAAATGACGGCTTTTAGCAGCTCGTAATTCTGCCTGTAAACGCTGCGAAAGTTCATTTACAGCAGCTGCATCAATATCATTAGAATGTGCAATGCCAAAGTGTTCAGTGGCTTCGGTGGGTGTTGACAAATTCGATGAGGTTGGCGATGGCGTCAAAGCTGACGGATACATTGATGACATTGCCGTGTTTGTTGTGCTTGTATGTGGTGAACAATGCAGTAGATTATTGTTGTATGTGTAAATAGCATTGTTTGCGGACTTAATGTGTGTTGGAGTGGTTGAAGTTTCCATGGTGGTAGATTGCAATTGTTGGTGTACTTGGGGACGAAGGGAATGGTTATGTTGAGATTCAATACCATCAACAACGTCTACAAATTCAGTGGGCGCGCTCTTATCCTCTTTAATTCCAGAAGCTGCTAAATTCGACAGTTGGGTTTCTGGTGGTGGTGAAAGAGAGCCTGTCCAATCTAAGAAAAAAAAAAAAAAAAAAAAGAAAAGAAAAAACAAAAAATAAAAACAAAAAAAAAAAAAACGGGCGACAATATTAATTCATAGGTTTAACTATATATACTTTTACGTCCACTATATTTGCTGTGGACTTTTTGTCATTTAGTTTTTGAGAGGCGCGTTTTTTGCCCTTTAAAATCTCTCTGGATGGCTTATATGTGTACTCAAAAAAATCGGGCAACAGCTGTTCTTATCTCTATTAATAAAACTTGTGTAAGGCTTGCACTAAGTGTTACACAAAAGATTTTGCAAGGCAATCGTAACTTTGTGTTTACTTTAAGATTTCTTTATGCGACTATTGGGGGGCTTCCGTTAATTTTGATCAGCGAGTTTTACAGATAAAAATGATAAAGTAATGCGCAACACCTGGACACATAATGGTTAAATTCGATGATTTTGATCTTTCTCTGCATAAAATAACTGTTCTCCATTTGGTAATATTGATTTATTGAGCGTATGGAGGGAGCGGTTAAAATTGTGTCTTCGACTTTCATTATTTTTGGTCGTTTAACTTGAACAAAATCTGATGGCGAAGCCCATCAAACGCTTTTGGAAGCTGTTCCTTCATAGCCCAATGGCCATTTTTTAGCTGCTTGTTGCAAGAGTTGTCAAGGATACACAATTGCAGCTCGAATGAGAAATTTTGCCGCACCCAGTGTACTCACCAGGCGTGGCTGGCACGCAGTTTCGCAAAGTTGAAGAAACGCGAAAATGGGTCGATAATTGGATCGCTGCCAAACCAATAGAATTGCTTTCGACACGATATCGCCATGTTGCTAGAAAATATTTCCTCTGGTAACTTACTAGCAATGTCAGAAATATCAAAAGAAAAAATATCATTCAATTTGATTTCAATCATCATCGTATATCTTACTTTCAATCTTACTTCGAAACTGTGCGACCGGGAGCACTTCGATATCAGTATGTCAATAAGGAGGCGAAAAGGCATTAATTATTGTAGTTTGTGCAAATCGCGACTTTTCAGATTTGAATGGCTATAATGCTGTTGAGAATTGAATAGATCCCTTTCTTGCCGAGCTAAGAGTAGCGAATATATTGCACTTTGTTGAATAACGGAAACGGGACGCATATCTACTTAGTTTTGTGTCATGGCGGATAAAAAAAAAAATCATTAAACGGTCAAACTAAAGACTTGATAGATAAGATGTTAACGTACCTGCAGATTGATGGGTGATGTCATTACCTACGAAGGTCATGACTCAGACCATTCTGATATTCCCTCTGGCTTCTCTTCAATTGTCGGATATTAATTATGTTAAATGCTCGCGTACATGTTAAAGGGCATAAGGCAAATACTATATCGTATAGGATAACACTTTTAAGTTTTACGCAATAGTTTTCTATCGAAAATTTGGATTCATATCAAAGCAAGACGAAATTCACGAGAAGCGCCACTTTTCTTATTTAATAGAATGTGGAATGTTGCCCAATTGTTATGAATAATAACAAGCGGACACGATACAATATACGAGGTGCAAACAACACTGATGGTGGCTTCACCGTGTGATCTGAATATGCGTCTCGTTCTCACTTGGAAATACTGTACACCACTGTGTGGTGTATTGTATGTTGATTCAAACCTGCGAAACAGTTGAACTAATCCCATAGAATAGAATGACCAAAAATATATGACAAATGACATGATCAGATTAAATTTCAACATGATGGTGATCGATCCAATATTTCAAACTTTCATAAGAAAAACTTCGTTAACATTAATCTTCCCAATCTTCCGTCATTATTTACCAATTATTCACTGTTCCCTTTGTATATATGTATATAAAAAATATACTAAAGCACATTATTTTCACATCAATGTCTAGTTTTACAAGCAAAAGAAAAGAAGAACGCTTAATACACATACATACACTTAATATCAGTTCAATATCATGAATATTTAGCTTCCCTAGAACATTATTATAAGTTTAATTTTTGTTATAAAGAATGGTTTTAATTACATTGAGAGAGTCGGACTGTCTGCTGTAGGGTGCACGTTTTCATTCGTATAAGGTTGCATCAATTTTTTTTTTTAATTGTGGGTGGACGCGAATCGTCCATTTTCAGGTTCGGCTTTCGCGATTATGGATTCAGACCGGAATTCATAAAATACAACATCTCGCCGCTGTAATGAATTGCTAACAAGCAAAGCGAACTATTTGTGTTGGATAGAAGAATTGCTTTTGTCTTTTAATTAATATTGAAACGGAAAGGCAACGGAACTTCACTAAAAATGAAAATATGGATTTGCAAAAAGAAAAAAAAAAGAAAAGAGAAACGAAAAGGTGAAGACATCATATATATGTATGTAGAAAGGCACTCCAACAAATATGCTCATATTCTCCATAAAAAGGGTAAAATATATATATGTATATGTATATGCACATACGCATCTAAATTATATATTTATGCACTCATGCACATGCACATATATAGCATATATGTATATATATATATATATATACGTATATATTCAGTTAACGCGCTTGTGTATTCGCTTGGTGAATAAAATAACTAAAATGAAATGTACTTGAGGGGTATTAAGCCAGAAATAATGTTACTTACTGTACATGTACATGTACAATCATGCACATATGTGCACATACATATCAAAATTCCTATAGAAACTTGCGTATGATTAAAGGCTTGAACGAGATTGTTTGACAGGGAACCGTGTTCGCATTCATATAAGCACGTGTACGTGCACGTCAATAAACGCACATGCAAACTAGTACATATATATATATATATATATATATATATATATATATATATATACATGTTGCACTTTTTGCTTGCCTTGCTACTAACTTTGCTTTACGGTAATTACAGTGACACACATAATAAAAACTACCGGCAATATCCTTCATCGTAATATAGTTGTTTGTTTGTTTCAGTAAATTTATGTGTATATCGGAGCATTCTATGTCATATGCAATGGAAATAAATTATGGAAATTTATTATTATTATTTTCGTTTTTCTTGCTTTTTCTTGCCCTGCTCAGCAAATTTTTACTCAATTGTAAAATTAAATTGATTGCAATTTGCCGGAATAAAATAAAAACCACAAAAATTAATATTTGAAGAGAAAGGAAAGACGGCAAATTAAAAGCGAAAACTTCAGTTGAAAAGAAATTTATTCGTTACCTTATCGACAGGGATGGGCTGCAAAGTTTCGCTTCCGTTTCCCATTGCAGCCATACGTATTATACAATCGTGTTTAGATTATACGAATCTCTAGCTATTGCGGCCATCCGTTAAGCGATAGGGTTAATGGGGAAGCCGCATAATCAATACGGTCGTTGATGTTGAAGTAAAAGAAAAAACTTTGCATAAAAAACGAATTCTGAGAAACTCTATTTTCATTTGCAATGACATCAAGAAACCGGTTGCATTTTGCACACGTTCATAACTATCAAGTAGAAGAATAATAGCACTTTTTCAACGAACCTATGGCAAAAGGAGATTTTACTTGTGAAACAAACACTCATAGCACATAATGTTTACGGAAATTCCGGAGAGAATGAAGTAAAGGCAAGTAAACACGCTCTAGCTCCTTAGATACAATTCTTTACTTACTTTTGTAACAAAATATCCAAAATTATAGATCCTTACCATGCGCAAAAGCTTACAACTTTCATGCGAAACTTTTCAAGGCAATTGATCAGAGAAATGAAAAGTTAGGCATATTTCTTTGTCAGATTATGCAGCGAATTTCCTAAGGCCGTAATATATCATAGGCAATAAGTAAGCAAAGACAATAAACCCTAAATTTATTAAAGTCACTGCTTTCCCTTTTCCAAACTTTACAAGTCACGACTTTTACTTATTTATAATTCACGTTTGACTCCGGATAGTACACATCGTTTACTTTGATAGTAGTTATACTAAGTGCTGAGTCGGTAAAGGCATAACACCAACCAAAGTAAGCTGTGCCCGCTTTTCTATCTGTTTTCTATCACTTCTTTCCACTTGTCACCGCACTACGGATATGGGGAACATTCCCTGATTGATTCGTCATATAATAATAAAAAAAAAAAAAAAAAAATAGTGTTCTGACTCATCATAATGTAATTGTCAAAAGTGACCAGAGGCATTATCCACTTAAGAGAGATTTTTCCCATCGACAAATGTTCGTGCGAATTGGTGGATGAGTTGACTTCTTCTTGGGTACTTTTTTTAACTTTTCTCTGACCATAGCTGAATTCGGACGGTTTAAGACTTGTTCGAAATCAAGAAACCATCGATAAATTTCTGCTTCAGACGGAGAAGAAAGCAGAAAACAATGTTTAACCAGCAGGGGAAATTCTTTTTAACTATTGTGTAAAAAAACCTATAGAGAGAAAGAGACCACCATATTTTTCGCCAAAAAATCAACGCGACATTGCAGTTTATCATGGGTAAACGAATTTGGAAAATTTTAATTGGATAGAATCACCATTCGAACTCCTCCCATGTAATATTTCTTATGAAAAATAAGGTCACTCTATGCCATATATGACAAGAAGGTCTAATTTTCAGTAATTTGTAATCTATTGGAACGGAATAGATGAAGAATTGTAATTAGGCGCAGCAAGATATATCTAAGGTATTTCATTATCGACTTTGCTAGACAATGAAGTTGTAACTTGTTCGAGGTAATGTAAATGAACGGGACAGATACGGACGGGCGTTAAATTTTATCCGCCAAGCCCAGCTAACGTTTTCTATGCTAATATTTGCGGAACATGCATGCTATACTGCGGTCAAAAAGTAGTAGGGTTAGTCATTCGACATTTAAACAACAAGTGTTACAGTGTCGGTATTACACTTCCTGCTAATAGCTTCAATAGCTAATGAGATGCCATTGTTTTCCTTTATATGAAAAGATATATTTTTCGTTTTTGAAACTGGATGAAAAATTCGGTAAAAAAATTGTTGCAGATATTGGTTCAAAAATTAAATTTCGATTTCGGGAATACCGAATAGGCGCTGGTGACAGTGGGCCCAAGGACTTCTGATTGCCATCGATTGTTTAAGGTGGGCAGAGAGCACTTAACTAAGGTCACATCAAGAAATTCAAGAAGCTGCTGCTCAAAAATTGTGGATTGCTAATTACAAAGACCTTATCGCTATGCTGCAATAACGCATTTGGAAGACTATTTGATCTTCGAACGCGTCCCAGGATAATTATTAACCTTTTCAGAGTGCAACGGCCAGAAGGGACTTTTTTTTTTGCCAGAAATTCAAGTCTGACCGTTCTAGAACCACATACTAATCGGACATCTGGCTATTGTCGAAAATCGAAAAATCGATCTGAGAACGTTGATTTGAGTCGATTGGAGAAATGAAATCCGCTTTATTAAATAAAACTAAACAGGACTAGCAATGGCATTGGAAACTTTCTACGCAAACATGAGTCCGGGTGTATCGAACCTAAGAAAAACGGCCCTTGACTTGAGAAGGCCCGCTCAATTTAAATATTGTCTCCTCTTATCGATATTCTGTTTGCTTATTGCGAGCCGATCGTTTATTTTCTCACTGAAGGCTTAGATCGTGTTGTAAAGTATTTTAAGCCGTTAAGTTTTCAACTACGGATTATAAATTGCATTTGTATGTTTGCAGTTGTGCCTAGTTGTAGACTTGATCAGTGTAGCAATGGCCATAATGATAACAGACAATTATATAGAATTATAATCTAAACTGTAGTCTAACTATCGAAAGGGAAACTATAAAGTGTGATGAAAATTTATATCATTATTTAGAGACAGAAAAAAGAGCTTTAAGGGATTTTTTTTCAAGAGAGAGTAAAAACCCAACGATGGACTTGCATGAATTCGGAACTTAATTAAGTGTCGGTGTAAAGTTTCAATATAGACGCAAATGTCCAAATCAGTTTCGTTACTCAAGCTGATCAAAAATATTAACGCACTTTGCGATCTTGCAGATATGTGCATGTATTTTATAAATATAGTTTTTTTTTTCTTTTTTTTTTTTTAAATTTTATCCTCTCTTCAATACAACAAATAGTAGCGATCATGAAAAGTTCGATTAAAAAGCGAATATAACTTTAAGGTCTGTTGAATTTAATTTGACGAAAGCAAAAATGATGAACGCAGTGTCATGATATTAACGGGCGGCTAGAGGGGCTGGAAGACTTGACTAAATATTTGTATCATTACCGTTGCATATGTTATATAGTCCCTGCGCTGCGAGTATAAAAAGAAAAGAAGGAATATTTGAAGGAAACTTTTCCTTCTTAATATATATATATATATAACTAGAATGGGGTCACGACATAACTGTGCATTTTTGTTAACTTTGAAGCAATCATGATGGCTATCAACAATTCATATACGTAGGTATATATATTTATTGATATATGCGAGGGGAAAGTTGACATCATTTTAAAAGTTCAAAAAGAAAGGTCAAAATGAATTTTTTAACGGAAATTTATAAATACTTACCTTTGACCTTCGCTGAACCAATAACACCAAACTGCTGTTGATGTATGTGATGATTTTGTAATGATAGCACTTCCATTTTCATTAGTAGTGAAGCAAAGATTTGATCGATGCCGACCAAATCGGATGAACGGTTCGCTGGTGTAGTGGTGACAGTAGAGTTGGACGAATCGAAATGAATCGAATTGGTTGCGATGATCGGACCTGTAGGGATAACCGATGAAGTAACGGAATCAGACGTCAAATGTGATGAATGTGATGATGGGGTCGCTGCATTATAATTCGTGATGGGATTGCTATGTTTACATTGATTTATAGAAGTTGCTTCAGCAGCAGCTTCAGTTGACGTGCTTGATGGTAACGTGATGACGGCTTTGTTTGTACGAAACAAAGAGAGTACGGCCGGGTTAGTCTCAATTTACTTTTGACTCTATATCTGTGTGTGTGCATAAAATTCATTTACTTTGCACAACATTTCTTTCTTCCTTCCTTTTTTTTCTTTCGTTTTTCTTGTTTTATTTATTTATTTATTTATTTATTCATTTATTTTTTTCATCTATATTCTCACCTAGAAGGATGCAGAGAATCGTCAACAATTTAATAAGATGAAGTTTGCAGGACGAGTTTTTTGAAAGATTTCTAAAATTTTGTGTTCTTCATAAAATTTTCTACTCGAAGGTTCTTAGAGGAGATTTCCAAAAATTAGAGTCGAAGAATATTCGAATTAAAGCCATGTATAACTTAATGCATATATGCGAGCATTTTTAGTTACTCACATATATAGATTTGGTTTTGATAGTAGTTTTACTGCAGGACCCCACGCTGTAATTTTGATTTTTTGTACGTTTTTATTCAGCTAACGAGAGAGATTCTCTCCTATCTCGTTTGCAAAGCTTTGATTAATGTTTCTTTACTCTTTCAAAACTTTTGTGATTGTTTTCCGTTGCATTTTTTCTGTAGCAAAAAGCGGTTGCTAAGGGCCCAGAATGATTGCGAATATCTAAAGTAATTTTTATATCTTTCATATATGAAATAAAATCAAAAAGAAGGCGTTATTGAATTTTCTGGCATTCACACATAAATCACAGATTTCGCTTTGTTGGTAAAAATCTATAGCTCAAGATACACATTCACACAGATTTATTTATCTTAAAGCCGTACTAAGGCGAATGTACATATGCATGCATACAAACATACGTACATACGGCCGCGTGCAATCAACTGTTTCTCTTTGCTTTAGTTAACACACAACCCGCTTTTTCCCATATTCACACATTCACCATTAGCGCTACAAAGCTACTATTCCGGCCGGTTACTAGCCAAGCATTTTATAGATTTTCCTTCTTTGTGCTCGCAATAAGATTGAGTTTTTATTAAACTGCTCGATATTTTCACTCAACGTATATGAGAGGGAGCGCATGTGCTTTGCGAATATGGAGTTTCGTTATTAAAAGCGGTGGTTGCGCTTAAGAGAGAGAAAACATATAAAATCTCTAAGACCGGCTGATGGCACATATGTTCTTGTTTGTTATATTTGCACAAGGAAAAAACAAAAAAAAAAAAATGAAAAAGAAGAGGAAGAGGAAAAAGAGAGTTAAGTTATTTTTTTGTGCATGTCACGTAAATACATACTGGAGCGCTCGTCATCGACATTAAAATGCTGTGATGAGCGCACTCTCTCTACCCTGCTCCATCTACAGCTGGTAGATATGCACTTTAAAACGAAAAAATTTTATTGTCGGTTCGAATTTATGTCTTTTCGCAAAGATAATTGCCCGGAATCGATCAGGAATATATAAATTCTAGGAGCCAATGTCGGCTGTTCATTGTAAATAGCATGACAAACCTAATTGGACAATATTGGGCCGCATTGAAGCTCACTTGGACTTTAAACTTTCATTTTTTGATTATTTCGCACTGCATTTCCGCAAAAAAAAAAAAATTCTTTTCATTTCAATTTTGAGTGACCTATGTAAAAACACTATAGTGGATCATCAGAGGCGCACATCTGCAAGTGGTCGAATAGGTGATGCGATCCGAACAATTCTTAATAACGGTTGTCGCTGGTGCAACTTATGGTCTGTAGTTTGAACACCAGAAAACAAGACGGACAGGCACCCTTAAGTCAGATCAGAAAGTTACTCTGAATATAAAAGCCGGGGTTGTTTCAGATTCTTCGGGGTGCGCATACATCCGCACAAACTTAATATAGGGTTCTGTCACAAATGGTGTAGGGTATAAATATATGTTAGCCATGATGTCAAAATTAATTTTTTGCGTTTCTCTAACGACTCATACGATAACGTGTCTCATAGTCATATAGCCCGAAAAGAATCCCGTATTTTGGACAAGAAGGACTCAATCGACACCGAATTTAGGACCGAGATGCACTGAGGGACTGTGCGTACAGTCTATGAAGTGAAACAAAATTTTAATATATAAAAATAAAAGAACGTTTAAGAGATAAAGAAACTTAGAAAGATAAGAAAACTTATTTGTAGATGCAAGTTCTACATAAACTGTGCTTTCGGTCATAGCTGATTATTTCGATATTTGTAAAATATATGTGGAAATCTTTATTCTATGCCTGGTGTGGTTTATAAGCGATGATCAAAAATGCTTAAAAAATTGCTATATATACTATAGGCGTATTCTTTCACCGATTTGGGTCAGTTTTAAATTTTTTTTCCAAGTTTGAAAATGATATTTTTTTGTTTTTGGAAACAGAGCAATGTGAACCGTAGACTCCAAGCAGGCGGTCAGAAGGACATGCCTAAATGTTGGTCAAGAATATATATATCTATATATATCTTTGAAATTTCCTTCTGGGTGCTGCAAACGTTTTAAAGATACGAATATACCAGCCTTCTTCGGTGGATGGGTATAAAAAAACCGGAGTGAAGTTAGTTCATCCTATGAAGGCTACATTTTTGTCTTTATCAAATAACACAACTTCTTGCCTCTTTATTAAACTATGAGACACAATAATTAAAAAAATTGTGTAATAGTAGAGAACAGGGAATACAAACATATAAAACAAATTAAGTCTCTTATGATCATTAAATCATAAATGTAAATAATTGCTATTAGCTATCAGGCGGTATGTGCGTCTGTGTGCATATTTTCTGAAAGAATACATTGTGTTACGAAACTGCCCATGTTCTTGAGACATGCGAAAGGACGTCAGAAGTTATACGTTGTCGTTTATAAACGAAAAACCTAGTTTCACTATGACGTCGAAAGTTTACTGCAACCGGAACTATTCATATATACCGATTTCCTTATAAATGAAACGCTCAATTAATTATATAAAATTTACAACATTTTACAAGCTTATATTACCCCATTTTCTACTACTACCACTGTCGCTACTACTATTGTTTTCATCATAAAGTATCAAATATCGCTCCTTGTTCTCATATGATGGGTTACGTATCCGAAGAATTCTTATATGGAAGAGGGTTTAAAGCGCGTATCCACGCGATCCGAATGTAGCGCCGTTAGTTTTTTTATCCAAGAATTTCTTATTCTTCAGTCTTGACAAAGCATTAAGATAATATTTTCGTGTTGATGTATTAAGACCTGCTTTCTTATATAGGATAGGATTTGAAAGAGAGACCGACATGGTAAAAATGTTCCACAGCATATGTATCTGTCAAACTATTATTTTGGATCAATTTAAAAGGTAATATACTAACTACTAGATCTTGTTGTCTATACATGGCATAATGGCATCCGACCCAAATTGTCCGCTTTCAAAAAATATTGAAAACGAAAACCTCTTTTCATACAATGACTTTTTCAAAATATGCCGTTATTTGTGGAGTGGCCATAAAAATGTTTCGATCCAGTCCATTTTCAATAGCATTCTTCTTTGAGCCATATCAGTGTAGTCGCATCTCACTAGAATATCTGAAGAATTGCGACCTTTAGAGTGGGCACACGTCAAGTAGACAAACGATAGCATATGCTTAAACCATATCAGGAGATAACTCTGAATAGATTTGTATAATAAAAGATAGTTGTACTTGAAATTCTTCTAGATGTTGCTTATATCCAACCGAACTTAATGCATCCTGTATTAAAAGGTGCGTGGATTACAAAAATTTCTTGGCCTTGAAACTAAAAAGGATGTAAAAAGCTATACGAAAAACCTGGTCTGCCTACGACGGTAAGGTTTAAAGTGTTTCATCGGCTTTTCTTTTACATTTCAAGTTAAATTTGATTTGAAGCCCGCCATTTTGTTGTCACAACGAATTCCACTTTAGCTTGCCCATGAGATCTCCCATAGACAACAAGGATCGAAGAAAACCATAGTTAGGGCAGGGTCCGTCTGTTCGTGCAACAAAGCGGCAATGAATAGTGGTCTCAAATATATTAAGGTCTGTTTTCGATCTTTCGGATGATTTGACAGATCGAAACTGAACTTTAATATATTCGTGGTCGCTGTTCAGTGCCGCTTAACGACTATCGTACTTGCCTTAGCTAAACAGGCGGGCTTCTTGAGAGAGTCTTCTATGAGAGACTCCGATGTTGGGTCCGAGGACGCGTAAGCTAATATCCTCCCATACATACAAAAGACTCTTTTTATTTCATTTTACGGGGAAAAATTCCACATTTTGCAAAGAAATCAACTTTTCTTCATATTTTCCAAAACACTTTACTATTCATTCAGTTTCTGTCAGTCAGTCTGCAGTTTTTGTCACGACAGACAGGCGGTATTTTGAACAATATTAAGCCTTACAATAATTTATGTTCACACAAAACGGACGTATGGGATTAACAAACGCTCTCCCTTCCCTATAATTAAACGTACGTTTTTTATAATACAAAAAAATATTTAATTAAATCAATAAAAAATTTCATTTATTTCTGCGACGTGATAAGCTTTAGCAAATATTGATAAAACACTCTCCGATGCTGCATATACATATGCATGTTAATAAATAAAAATTCACTCAAATTCTATTTATTCATTATGCACATATACGCACCTGAGTATGCACTAAATGTGTTTTTCATATATACATATATATATATATATATGTTTATAGCATAGAGGGTGAGAGGATTTGTTGCATTTTTCTGTCCCTGAGAGTTTCCAACGTTTAACACGAACATATTCAACTGAAAGTATTGAATATATATTTATATCTACAGTTTGAAAGCATATTAAGTTCATTGTGACGCAAATGTATGATTTGTTAATTTGGCTCGCTATTTGTCTGCCTTCGCGAAAATTTATCAAAATGCAAACGCTAGTTATCTGCAATAACATATTCGAAATTTATTCCAATTGTGAAGGGAGGGTGGTCCGAAAAGTACTTTTACATAGCACAAACTTATCATAATAATAGTTGTCATGTCAAATCATAAGGTTGTACCAATTTTTATCAGAAATTACTGAATACTAGAACTTGTCAGCCTCTGAAGGTAGGGTCGTGTCTACAGATTCAAAGCGGGTGCCATTCGATGCCATGTAGCCATAGTATGCTAATATTATTAATTTTCGCCGAATTTTTTTGTTTTTTTTTTTTAATATCACGACTTCTTCGGGATAGGGAGCAGTCGTAACAATACATCTAGTATAACCCATTTTCGTTTCGTTATTACGCTAAAACATGTTTGCGCATCAAATTTGACGAAAATTTGCAATGGGTAGGGCAAACACAAGGATATATTGACAGACGGACGGATAGATATGCTTATATTGCACGGTAATGTAAAAAATAGCGATGCCATCTCGAGTAAGGTTCGCGTGCTTTAAGGTATAAATAGTTCGTTTCCTTGGAAAGACTTTTTGTTTGTAATCACAACCAGAAATTTTAAGTTCCTCAGTTATATGGCAGCTAGTGGCGGGAACAATGAGCAATGAATTGACGTCTCTTTCACTTTAGGTACTTATAGGTAAATTTGATGAACAATTACGTTTAGTCCTATGCATAATTTTTTGCAATAGATGTACGCATGTTTTGGAATCGCATCCAATGTCCAAAATAGATATGTCCAATGGATATGAAAAAGTTTCGACAAATTTGAGTATAAATCCTCACTTGCTTCTATTTTTTTTTTTTTCATTTTTTTTTTGCTTCCTTGGTCATAAATAATTATTTATTGTGGCTTTTATTTGCTTTAGTATTCCCACACGTTAGTATTTATACATGAAATATGCATAGAATCAATTTTATTTAGTGAATTATACCGTAACACTGTGGCTCAAAGCTTGACACCTGACATTTTACTGAACATAGTAAAGTTATTATGTATTTAAAACTGGTCGATCGTGCAATGATTGCTATTTATAGGATTAGCGTAATT